CATGTCCATCACATAATTCTCCTAATGATGTGACCCCGTTCATCAAATGACAACACATGTCTATGGTTAGGAAACATAACCATCTTTGATTAACGAGCTAGTCAATTAGAGGCATACTAGGGACAATATGTTTTGTCTATGTATTCACACATGTACTAAGTTTCCGGTTAATACAATTCTAGCATGAATAATAAACATTTATCATGAAATAAGGAAATAAATAATAACTTTATTATTGCCTCTAGGGCATATTTCCTTCACACTGCCCTCCCATTGTTCTTCCAAAATGCAACGCCCGCTCAATGCTTCGTCCTTCCTCTCCCACACACCATCGCCCCGCCAGGCTCGCCGGTCGTCACTAATAGATGAACAAAACTATTGCTTGTATTATGTTTAGTACAGGGTACATGGCTATATATTGGTACAAACCAACTTAGACTAGGTATTACAAACCGACTTGGACTAGGAAACTTGTGATCCAAGGAATAGTCTAACATCCCCCTGCAGTATCAACGGGAGGCTCGATGATGTTGAGACTGGAACGTATGTCTTGAAATGGCTTAGTAGCAAGTCCTTTGGTGAAGATGTCAGCAATTGAGCCGTAGTGGGAACATGGAGCACCCGAACTTGTCCAAGAGCCACCTTCTCTCAAACAAAATGAATATCAATCTCAATGTGTTTGGTTCGGAGATGCTGAACAAGATTCCCAGACATGTAAACAGCTGAAATATTATCACAATATACAATAGTAGCCTGCTCAATCGCTCGGTGTAGTTCTGAGAGCAACTGATGAACCCAAATAGTATCAACGACAACATGTGCCACAACATGGTACTCAGCTTCAGCGGACGAGCGAGAGACTGTAACCTGTCTTTTTAAGGAACAATAAATCAAATTGTTACCAAGAAAAACACAAAAACCGGATGTGGATCGTCGAGTGTTTGGACAACCAGCCCAGTCTGCATCAGAGTATGTGGTGAGAGAATGAGGAGTGGACTTATTGATGTGAAGACCATGATCAAGAGTACCTTTCAAATACCTAAGAACATGTTTGACATGATTAAAATGTGGAAGCCGTGGATCATGCATATGGAGACATGCTTGTTGAATAGCAAAGGAAATTTCAGGACGAGTGATAGTGAGATATTGAAGAGCCCCGGTTAGACTATGGTACAAAGTAGGATCATGGAAAGGTTCACCATCAGCTAATAGTTTGAAATTGGTATCAACAGGGGAGCGAGAGGACTGGCAGTCAAGCATACCAGCACGATTAAGAAGATCAAGAGTATACTGACGTTGGAAAAAAAAGGCCAAAAGAATCACGAAGAACCGCAATGCCCAAAAAGTTATGAAGAGTACCAAGATCAATCATAGAATTCAGAACGAAGAAGGGTAAAAATGTGATCTAAAAAGGTTTGAAAAGATGTGGAGAGAATGATGTCATCTACATAAAGAATGAGGTAGGCAGTTTTAGAATTGTGGTGGTACACAAAGAGAGAAGTGTCAAAAAGTGAAGAAGTGAAACCTATCGTTTGGATGAAAGAAGAGAAACGTTGGAACTAGGCTCGTGGAGCTTGTTTGAGACCATAAAGAGATTTCTGGAGAATAAAAACATGATTTGGATAGGAAGGATTTTCAAAACCAAGAGGTTGCTGACAATAGACGGTCTCTTGAAGAGAACCATGGAGGAAAGCATTTTTTACATCTAGTTGATGGATGGGCCATGCAGAGGAAACAACGATGCCAAGGACGGTACAAATGGTGCTGGGCTTGACAACAGGAGAGAAATTTTCATCATAATCAATGCCATGTTGTTGAGAGTAACCGCGACAGACCCAGCGGGCTTTATAGCGGGAGAGGCTCCCGTCAGAATGGAAATTTTGGCGAAAGACCCATCTGCCAGAAACGATATTTGTATTGGAAGGGCGAGGAACTAACTGCCAAGTATTGTTTTTAGTTAAAGCACCGTATTCTTCTTGCATGGCAGCAGCCCAATTCGGATCAAGAAGAGCAGTTTTGTAAGTTCTGGGAATGGAAGAGAGAGGTGTGTTAGCATGTAGGTTAAGGAGATCTGTGGGCTGATGAAAACCTAATTTGGCGTGAGTACGCATGCCATGATCATTGACAGGGGCGACGGTAGGAACAGCTTTAGCTGGTAGGCTGGAAACTGGGTTTCTGGTGTAGGAGAAGATGCAGATGGTGGGTGGGGTGGTGGCGGGGTGGGTGGTGTTGGGATGTGTGGTTGCGGGTTGGGTGTTGGGATGTGCGGTTTGCGGGTTGGGTGGTGGCGGGTTGTTTGGTTGCGCGTTGGGTGGTGTCGGGGTGTTTGATGGTGGGTTGGGTGGTGCTGCCGGGACAATAGGTGCGGCAGGTTGGGCTACTGTGATAGGAGTGTAGAGGTGGAATGGACGGGGAGAAGAGGTGGCGGCGGAGGTAGGAATGATTGATGGTGTGTTGGTGCATTGAGCAAAAGGAAAAATATGTTCGGCGAATGTAACGTGGTGAGACACGTGTATCCATCCAGTGTGTAAGTCAAGACAATGGTAACCTTTGTGTTCGTCGGAAAAACCAAGGACACATGGGATAGATCGTGCAGAAAGTTTGTTTTTAGAGGTGGCATAGGCATTTGGAAAGCAAAGACAGCCAAAAACACGGACCTCGGAGTAATTGGGATGGCAAAGGAAAAAGAGTAATAGGGAGTGATATTTGGATTGTTTTTGGAGGGGCGAATATTGAGAAGAAAGGTGGCCCTGTGGAGTGCTTCTACCCAGAATTTTGATGGCATGGAGGACTGAACGAGAAGTGTACGAACAATGTCATTGATGGTGCGAAGAGAACGCTCGGCTTTACCATTTTGAGGAGAAGTGTAGGGACAAGAGAAACGAAGAAGGATGCCATGTTTTAAAAAGAAGGTGCGATTTTGAATGTTGTCAAACTCATGGCCGTTGTCACACTGAATGAAACGAATAGGAAGGAAGAAGTGGACAGAAACATAACGCTGAAAATGTAGAAAAAGAGGGTAAACATCGGACTTGTTGCGGAGAGGAAAGGTCCATACAAAGTGAGTAAAATCGCCTAGCATGACAAGATAGTATTTAAAACCAGAAACACTTGCAATGGGTGATGTCCATAAATCACAATGTATTAATTCAAAAGGATAAGTACAAGAAGAGCTAGAGGAGCTAAAGGAAAGACGCACATGTTTGCCTAACTGACAAGACTCGTAAAATGAAGAATTGTGGGAATCAGGATTATATGGTATGGAAAACTCACTAAGCATAGATGCTAAAACAACAGGGTTGGGATGACCTAGACGATGATGCCAAAGGTCGACGAAGGCCACCATGGATGTAGGAGGAGCGGCGGCATGGACACCATGAAGAGAGTAGAGTTCACCGGAGCTATTAAAGTGGGTGATCTCGGCCTTGGTCTGGTAGTCCTTTACAGACAAACCAAAAGGGTCAAACTCAACAGAAACTAGATTGTGCGAGTAAATTGGCGACAGGTTTTTAATAAGAGCGGGTGCAACAAGAACGTCTTGAAGAAGAAGTGGTTTAGTGGGAGAGGGAAGTTGAGCCTGGCCTACACAGTTTATGGGAATAGATGAACCATCACCAAGAGTAATGGAACGAAATAGAGAAGGAGTGCAAGAAGAAATGAATTTACTTGATGCAGACATATGACTAGAGGCACCAGAATCAAAAATCCAATTAGTACCTGACTTTCCTTGGGCAGCAAAGTTGTTCATGGCCTGGAGAAAGGCGGCTTGATCCCAGCTCGGCGGTGCGGGTGAGGTTGGTGTGGGTAGCAGCGCCGGCTGATATGCCGGTGAAGGCTGGAGAGCCAACGAGGGCATGCAGTAGAGACTTCCGTCAGCAGGAGAGGGCGAGGGAGCACCGTAAGGAGCATATGATGGAGCGGATGTGTTCGCCGGCTATAGAGCGGTAAGCAACCCAGGGGCACCAGTATGCGGACGAAGGCCGGGTTGCCAAGCACCGGTGTAGGTAGGTGGAGCGCCAAGGGGGGACGGGGCAGACCAGGGCATAGGCCATGCCTGGACAAGCCCGGTCCATGGATCATGCGGAGGACGCCAGGATGGAGCCGTCGCTGGAGCACTCGGAGCCGGCGCAGGGTTTGAAGGTGGCGGTGTCGAAGGAGGCGCCGAGCGCATCGAGGGCGGCCTATAGATGGGGTTTTTGCCGCGGTAGTTGTGACTGGGGTGCCAGCCTGGAGGTGGCTGCACGGATGGCGTCGGGGGCGGCATGGCGGCAGGAGTTGGCATGTGAGGCACTGATGGAGACGGCGCCCAGAGCTCGAAGTAGCCGGGCGGCGACAACGGTGGTGGGTGGGTGGAGCCATACCCTAAACTCTAGGATCGAAACCATGATAGATGAATAAAACTATTGCTTGTATTATGTTTAGTACCAGGTACATGTCTATATATATTGGTACAAACCAATTTAGACTAGGTATTACAAATCGACTTGGACTAGGAAAGTTGTGATCCAAGGAATAGTCTATCAGTCACCCACAACCGCAGCTTCTTGTCGCACCTCGCTGCTTCATTGCAGCACAACGGCACTGCGTAAAGGGCGTTGATGGCCGCACCATCACAAACGTCGCTTGCAGCACCGGCGGTGCTGCGACAATGGGGAATTGCAGCAGAGGTGGTCCTCATCGTCACGCGGTTCCCTCCGGCTTGCAATCATGCCGTGGTTGCTGAAGCAGTGACGATGTTGCATGCCGGAGTGACACATAGTGCAGTTTTTTAAGTATATTTTAATTTTTTTTTGAAAGAGTGACCCATAGTGCATTTTACTCTTCAATCAATAAAAAATATAAAAAAAACTCTCTAATCAATTAAAAAAAAGGCTTGAACCTGCAACATGCTTTTATTCCTCCCTTGAAGCTCAACCGATCAAATTCAGACACTACACAAAACACAAAAGCGACTGTGTTGCCTGACAAACGACCGAGCTCGGGTACCACTAGCTACTACTCTAGAAGGAGAACTTGAACACCATGTCATGCCTGTACACCTTCCCCGGCCGGACGATCTGCGACGGGAAGCTCGGGCGGTTCACGGCGTCGGGGAACCCCTGTGTCTCCAGGCAGAGCGCGCCGTAGTGGCCGTAGACCTTGCCACCCTTCCCCCTCACCCCGCTGAGCCCGTTGGCCGTGTAGAACTGCAGCCCGGGCTGGTCCGCCCACAGCTCCATCACCCTGCCGGACGCGCCGTCTCGGACGACCGCCACCGGGCGCAGGCCTCCGCCGTCCACAACATAGTTGATGTCGTACCCATTGACGCCGCGGCTGAGTAGGCCGCCGATGCGCGAGCCCACGGCGGCCGGCGTGCGAAAGTCGTACGGCGTGCCGGCCACGGGCGCCAGGCGGCCCGTCGGGATGAGCGCGGCGTCCACGGGCGTGTATCGGGACGCGAAGAGGCGGACCTCCTCGCCGAGGACGCTGCCGCTACCGTGGCCGCCGAGGTTCCAGTAGGCATGGTGCGCCAGGTTCACCGGGGTGGCCTTGCCCCATGCCGTCGCGTTCATGCGCACGCTCAACACGTGCGGGCTCGAGAGTTGGTACGTCACGTGCACGTCCACGTCGCCTGGAAACCCTGTTCAAGTTCAGCTACTTCATTAAAATCGGTTATGTTTTGAAATAAAATGAGAAGCGAAGAGCTCCTCAATTTGATGAAAAAGAAAATTGCACAAAAGGTGTGGCTATGTAACTGAGGTTTAACCAAGTCTCAATAAAGTGACAAATATATGTAAAAAAAAGAAAAAACTGAAAGAAAAAAATTGCACGGATCGCAGCATAAGATCTCATGGATATAGCATCAACCGAGACTTAATGAAGTCTCGGTCGACTGAGATTTAGCAAAACTGTTGCACAAATACACAACTACAGGGAGTGAGGTAACACCAAACCCCAACTCTAGGGGATTTTAACAGAAAATCAAAACTCCAGGACTAATCAGTAAAAACACGAATTAATCAGTTCTATCTTACCAAAACTGTCCGAATTTCAAATGGTTGGGCTAAATTGGCTGAAAAGTTCCCATGTTGACCATTTAACATGTTTTTCAGATGATTTTTTTAAACTTTGGATTCTTTAACAAAATTTGACCGATTCTTACAAAAGAATTGTCCAAATTTTAAATGGTTGGCCTAAATTGGCTGAGCATCTTCCAGATTGATCATTTAAGACTGAACCCACGTGTCATAATTCTCCTTAACTGACTAACGATAACAGAATTGCGTTTTTCTGTACCCGGTTAGACCCGGAGTTGTGGTTTTCTGTTAAAATCCTCTGGAGTTGCGGTCCTGTGTTATCTCAGCCCCAAAACTTGTGTATTTATGCAATTTCCTCTCGATGAAAATATCAGAAAATTGTAAGGGCTCCAAATTATTCCTTGCCTTGCTCTCCGTCGAAGCTATGGTAGTAGAAAGTGATGAAGGGGGAGCCGCTGCCGGCGACGTGCTGCTCTACCGTCCATATGACCTTGTTGAATCCCCGGTAACCACCTAGAGAACCATAGCAGAAAGATGATCGGTCGCAGCTCTTAGGAACCAGGAGAGAAAAAATTCTCTTGGACCTACCGTGCAGCGTGTTATTGCCATCATTAGGAACCAGGCGGTAGGCCTTCCCGTCCAGCGTGAACCGGGCGTTGGCGATCCTGTTGGCGACGCGGCCGATCAACCCTCCGAAGTAGGCGGTGCCATTCTGCACATGCACAGTACGCACAATCGAGATGCAAAAGCAGAAACAAACTTTGTCGGCGGCTAAAGAAGAAGAATTAAACCAAGTTGTGTTAAGAAAAGAAACAAGAGGCGTTTATGCATGATCTTACCATGTATTCAGCGACCGTATCGTAGCCCAGGATCACAATCCCCCAAGTTTCCTACGGTGCAAGGGAAGAAGAGTGAGATCCCAGATCACTTGCAGAAGCAACGGATGAGAACCACGACCTTTTGGAAGGAAGGAAGAAGCGTGTCATTCGTATATATCATTACCTCTCGAGTCGGGGAGAATCACGGACATGAGGGTGGCGCCCCAGTTGGTGACCTTGATGGAGAAATCCCCCTTGTTGAGCTCGTACACACTGACGGTCTTCCTCTCCGCTGCCGCATCGGCGCGGCCGGACAGGCCGAGCGCCAGAAACCACGAGGCGAGGACGGCGACGAACAGGGCTCTCGCCATTTTCATTGCAAGGTGTATCTATTTTCCACAGAGTGTCTGTCACCTTAGCAGCCAAGAAGAGCTGGAAGAAGGGGCCACTACTGCTTGATGGTTATAGTACATGCGTGCGTGAAGGCAGGCAGATATAAAGTGGCCACATCATTGATCCTTGGTATGCGTGACCGCCGAGTGTTCTTCTGTCAGAGGCTAGCCACTGAGCTCCTCGTGACGCGCAAATTAGCCCTACGCTAGCTTCTTCTTCTCCGTCGCCTAGCCGTGCTGTGCAGCCATACTTTGATTGGAACCAACGGACGAAGCTGGTCTGGATTGTACTAGCTCATGTCTCTCATTTTGCCACATTGGCACCGGCTGGCAACGGTGCGCGCCCATGCGGCATTCACAGACGGAACAGACAAAGGATGTGAACGACGACCAAATACGTGAGGCCATCAGGCAAAGCATGTGACCGTCGGTAGCAATGCACGCACAAGCTGCACCAACAAACCTGCTGCCTCAGTCCAAGCTGCATACCCACACGTTTTTGTTGGATGCAGGCGGCTACCTGCTGCCTCAGCGAAGACAAACCTCCACAGCAAACTCTCAAGCAAATGGTTTTCTTTTTCTTTTGAAACCTGAAGGATACCAAGCCAATACTCCGGAATCTCCTTTTCCATCCCCAAGGGCGCCAAAGGAACTCTTCTATGGAACTCCTAACCTTCAAATTCATCCACAAGTCCTGTGCTCCAAACGACCCCTGAGGTTCACCCTACTCGGAGGTCCTTCCAGTCAGCGACAATCCGTCAATCCCTTAACACCGAGAGAAGAGGCAGCCTCGTGCAAATGTGATCATTTGTCTCGGAATCCATGTCGCAAAGCTTGCAAGCTTGATCATGGGGCCAACCTCGCGCTGCCAGGCCGTCTGCCATCAAAGCCCTCTTATATATGGAGGATGAGCCAAGTAAAAACTTTCTAGTTAGGCTCCGTCTTCGCTTGCCAGATATTGTTAGCCACGAAAACATGTTGGGGCACTGTCAATGAGGACTTCTATCGCCTTTGCTCAAAGTTTTGCACTAGTGAACTAAATCTCGAGAGCACCAGTTAATACGGGCTACTTTGATACAAAAACAAAATGCCTCACCTGAGACAGCTAATGATTACCGGCCCATCACCTGCCTAAAATTGATCACATAACTTCTGGTTAGCAGGTTATCTTGAGAATTATTCACCAGAATCGATTTGGTTTACTCTGACGCCGTACTAACCACGACTGTCTAGCTTGGGGCTTCAAAGACATCCATCACTGTCAAGCTTCTCAACCCGCCATTGTTGATCCAGAGAATCCAAATACAACAGTCTAACCAGAGTAAGGAACAGAAAAAAAAATGGTTTATGGATAAAGCTCAATCCAAACAAGAATTAAAAAAAACACTAGAGGTGCATGAGTTAGAATCATAAGCTACAAATTTGAAGGGTACTAACCTGGTATTAACTACAAACATACCGACTTAGTTAACTAAGTTCTCTACTAGGTTTGTAAAGCTGCACATTGTTTGATATCATCAATCGAAGACCATGCAAGTTTCATACTTGAAAGGAAACTAAGCCTTCTTTATACCCATTGTATATGTTGTAACACACATTGAAAAGCCAAACCAGAAGGAGATAACAGATAAATCTTCCAAATGTATAAAAACAGGGAAACTCAATATTTAAGATTGGTGGATAGAAAGTTGCATATTGAAGATATAGTTACAGGAAAATAAACATTTCAAACATAGATAATATATTTGTCTCACATTTGTCCCCATACGAGAAGCTAAAAGAGTGACATCAACAATTATTACATGAAAGCAAATAGGGCAGTTACAAATTCTTCATGGCTACGCAAGACTAATCCAACACACATCTTCAAGAATTGGGATATACCCGACAACTGATGTTTACTAAGACACTAGAGCCATGCCAAGTATTGCAAGCCTTTAGTGACCATCTGATGTCCATTCCGCAAAAGACGGAGTGTAAGGTAGACCTTCCAAGAAATCTCCAGTGGCACAGATAGCATGCACTTCCTGATTATCCATATCATATGACAATGCCTTCTTATTGTCAGTAAGGAAAATCAAATCACATTCTGGATGAATTGCAAACATCGAGTAGTACTCATCGTTTTTGCAACAATCCCTTCCAAACAGTTCAAAGCAGTTAATGGTACACTTTAGGGTCCACTGTCCACTATCATAATTCTCAAGAACCCAAATAGAGAGTTGGCAACCATCTTGATTCTGTTCCCAAACATGCAGGCGTCCCTGTGACTGCCCAATGGAAGCACCGCCATAGTTGTTTGGCATGCCAGGTGGCATTTCAATTTCCCCCCAAGCATTCCTTTTCATGTCCACTGTGACTATTGACGAAGATCAAGTAGGGAAATGCATAATGCCATTTAGGAAGGTGCTTTCTGAATCACTAACCCAATATGCACTGCTATCATTGTGCTGACTCTGCATGGAAGTTCACCCTCCAGTTTCCGATGAGTAGATCATGGCCGCGGACAGGCCATATTCATAATATGTGTCCAGGGGCACAAACACCACAAAGCGGGACGGGGTGACCGGGTCAAAGCTCAAGAAGTATTTGTCTAGGCTGAAACGTGAAAGGTCGTCAGGCAATTTTATAGGAGGCAACACAGTCCACTGCTGAGTAGCAGGATTGCAGACAACATAATCAAACTCCTTAGCCTCGGGCCATTTGAAACATTGCCCGGGCTTTGGATTCGGGACGAAATTCCAACTGCGTTGCCTAGGATAGCACGATTTCCAACATTTGCAAAGGAGAAGGCTGGTGCTGCATTGTTGGATACTGAAAAATTTGTAGCTGCCGCGTAAGAAACGGAGATTGGAGTCGAAGATGGGAGGATCTTTCCCGGACAAATTGTGGAAACGCCACCCGAGATTGAAGTGGAAGAAGCCAGACAAGGTCTGCGGCGACCTCTTGCGGACGTCGGGGGCAGAGCAGAGGGCGAACCATTGTTTGGACACGCACTTGAAGTGGAAGAGCGAGATGTAGGGCACCCGCGACAGGATCTCGATGAGAACGTCCTCCGGGAAGCTCGCCGGGGTCTCCTCCTCGCCCTGCTGCCCATCCTCCCGCCTGATCTTCTTGTTCTAATAAAGATGTGGTAAAGACATTTCATTTAGGTCACGGATCGATTTCACGGATCAAAGAATACAAGAGGCGAGGAACGAACCTCAGAGGCGACGGGGGTGACGGCCAGGCCAGGCAGCAACGGCGTCAGCGGCGACGGCGAACGGGATGGGGGCCCCTCGTCGCGGCACCCGTGGCCAGTCGCCGGTGGGAGGTCCTGCTCCCCGAATCTTTGTTCGCCCGTTGCTCCTCCTCCTCCCCCTGGAGGCATTGCGGGTCGGCTCGTCGAGCGTGGTTGCCGGCAGGTCGTCTGGTGGAGCGAGGGTTTGGCAAGGGGAATGGAGCAAAGGAGCGGCGGCGGCGTTGGACTTGTGTCCTCACTGCTTGTTTTTTTTTCTGGGCTCGATTGTGAGAAGAAAGAGTCGTGGACTTGCTTTGGTCGGCCCAATTGAGCCCGTCATATGGAGACTCTTATTTGGGCAGATGCTTACAAATCCCTAAAAAAGAAGAGGTAAAAAAAAGATGCTATTTACGAATATCATGTTATGTTGTTGGCAAACTCGGATGATCAAAACAGAGTCATGAAAGCCACAAACTCTTCAATTCTTGAGCCGCCTTTGAGCGTAATATATTCCGATCACGACGTCCCCTTGATACCAAACTAAAATTTTAATCTCTCTGAGGTCCTACAAGTGAAATGAGTCAATCAATGACGTGGCGTAATTGTACATGATACTAGCTAATTGTCCGTGCATTGCAACGGGGCATGCACATTCTACTAGTTCAACGTCAGTCGTGTCCGACATAAATATTACACCCATCATATTCTAGATTTTGATAAGATTTGATTTGAGCATGAGTAGGAAATACAAAAATAATAATTTTGTTGAGGTTTTGGAAAGATTTGATTTAATTTGGGTATGAGTAAGGGAAGACAAGATTTATTATTTATTTAGTTGAGGTTTTGGTATATTTAATTTGATTCGATTGGGTTAACGTAGGGTGTCGGAATGAGGGGTCAAGGTATACCTGGCCATCCGTCGGGCCGATCCGGCCTACTAAAGCCCGACGCAGAAACCCTAGGCCCGAGCCTGGCCCAAGAAGGCCGTCGGGCCTAAAAATCAGGCCCAAGCCCAGTCCATCATGCAAAGAGCCTATCGGGCCTTGGGTCAGGCGTCTTTGTTAAACTGCAAATACGTTGGGCCTGAGCCCGGCCCAGCTTGACCATCAGGCTCAAAATCTAGGCCCAGGCCCAACCCATGGAGGTCGGATCAGGCCGGGACAGGTCGGGTCGTCCAAGCCGGGCTGCCCATGGCCAAGTGTAGGTAACGGAAGGGGGAGTTGGACGTACGAATGCATCCTTAACTCCGCTTTAATAATAGAGATTGTAGATGGTGACGGTGATGATAGATGGAGGAGGGCAATTCACACCATGAAAAAGAAGAGGGACGAAATCTACACTTATGGGGACCGATATGGCTACAATAGTAAGTCAAGTCATGTTGCCCCATGCCATGCGATATTAGAACTAGTGTCGACCCATTTGACTGTTATGAGGGATCAATTTACGTGGTATTGGGTCACGCAAGTGAGAGGCCAAATTCGCCTGAATCGGAGAGCTGAGGGTGATCGGTTGTGTGTCAGGAAAATAGGTGGACCGCATACGTTGGTAGATCATGGTTATAGGATTCTCAGATTATGTGCTATTGGAACTCTGCTTGATAGCTCTGCCCTTCTGATAATCATGAACTAGAAGCTGTCTTTTCTTTCAGCTCCAGTAGTAGTTTGATTCTCTCATCTGGATCATGTACTTCATGAAACCACTGACCATATGCAAAATCTTCCCAGCTCGTAATTGCTCAGGTGCACTATATACATGCACTGCTAGTGCCAGACTCAATTGGTAGCATCAGTATCCAGTAGCTGGCAATTTTCCTGATATAGACTATAGAGACATAGCGATGACTATTTTGCAAAATAAGAGAAGGATTATTTTGCAAAATGAGAACTCATCGACAATTTTAGATACACATCTCCCAGCACCATTTCATTAGGAGAACCGGCACATGAAAGATCAAAGCAACAACATACACGTTCTTCCAGTGAAGGGAATATCCTCCATTATTTACAGGTACAGCTGCACACATATGCTATTGTCTCAGATCATTTAGTCGCAGCAGCTCAATTTGAATCATATGCGCAACACCTCAACTCTGACTGATCTCAAGAGATATTAGTCTCCCAGTATCTCCTAAAATTCAGATGTATATATAGCCCACCCACGCTTTTGTTCTTAAACTTCATTGGCGGGTAGAAGGTTTCCAGCCCCCATTCAGGAGGATGGAGCTTCATAGCCAGGCAATGCAAAGAAGTTCAGAACTTCAGATGCAACATAATTCCAGTAGTAGACTAGCAGTAAGCACTGAAGTGTCTGGCGGTCTGCAGCGAGGACTGGGCATACGCCAGAAATGGGAGGGTACAAGCCACACCACCATGGATACAGCTCAATCGTACACTTCATTTAACTACTAGCATATGACAGTAGGCTTGTACAACTGCAGACTGTCTGGTACCATCAATGGAAGACTATGCAAATTTCATAAAGGAAACTAAGCTTTCTTCATACCCTCTGTAAGTCTGTACATGTTGTTACTTAGTACTTACATGGAAAAGCCAATCCAGATGGAATTGCATAAAAACAAGGAAAGATCAATTTTTAGCATTGGTGGATAGCAAATTCTATACTAAAGATATGCTTCCAGGAAATTAGACATCCCAAACACAGAATATACTATGTCATATTTGCTCCATGCGAGGAGAAAAAAGAGTGACATCGATAATTATTACATCAAAACAAATAGATTAAGTGACTAGGTTCATTCTTATAACTAAACATTCTAATCGGAGGGTCAGTAACAAATTCTTCATGGCTAACCAACATTGCTCAAAGAACCAGAAGAACATGCACCAATAAGTGCATTCAGGACTTGTCCAACACACATCTTCAATTAGAATATTTGGCATATACCCAACAATTGGTGTTTAACAAGAGACTGGAGCCATGCTAAATGTGTAAACCTTTACTAACCATCTGTTGTCCATTCCGCAAAACAGGGAGTGTAGGGTAGACCTTCCGAAAATTCTACAGAAGTGCATATAACATGCACTTTCTGATTATCCATGTTGTATGATAGTACCTTCTCCGTACCATCAGTCAGGAAAATCAAATTACATTCTGGATGAATTGCAAACATTGAGTAGGACTTACCGTTTTCGAGGCGATCCCTTCCAAACAGTTCAAAACAATTAACTACCCACTTCAGGGTCCACTGACCACTATCATAATTCTCAAGAACCCAAATAGAGAGCTGACCATCATATCGATTCTTTATATGCCAAGCATACAAGTGTCCCTTAGACGGCCCAATGAAAGCACGGACATAGTTGTTTATCATGCCAGGTGGCATTTTAATTTTCCTCCAAGCATTCCTTTTCATGTCCAGTGTGACTATCGACTCATAAGCAGGGAAATGCAGAGTGCCATTCAACAAGGTGCTTTGCCTGCTTCCAAAATTACTAACCGAATCTACACCAACATCATCACGCTGACTCTGCATGGAAGTCCATCCTCCAGTGTCCGATGAGTAGATCATTTCCATGGACATGCCGTAATTAGTGTTCAGGTGCGCAAACACAACGAAGCGGGACAGGGTGGCCGGGTCAAAACCCAAAATGTACTTGCCTGGGTGGGAACATGAAAGGTGGCCGGGCAGTTCTATAGGAGGCAACACAGTCCACTCCCGAGTAGCAGGATTGCAGACAACATAATCGAATTCCGCAACCTCGGGCCATCGGATAAACATCCATGGATCTAGATCTAGGCGATAACTCCAACCGCAGTCCTTAGGAGGGCGTGATTTCCAGCATCGGCAGAGGAGAAGGCTGGTGCTGCATTGTGTGACAGAGAAATGTTTATATGTGCTGCCCAAGAAAGGGAGATCGTCGAGGTCGACCATAGGAGCACCTTTCCCAGACAAATTCTGGAAACGCCAACCAGGGCGCAATGTCTTCCAACCGTGATCGAAGTAGAAGAAGCCGGACAAGGTCTGCGGCGACCTCTTGCGGATGTCGGAATCGGAGCAGAGGGCGAGCCACTCTTTGGACACGCACTTGAAGCGGCACAGCGACCTGTAGGGTACCCGTGACAGGATGTCGATGAGAATGTCCTCCGGGAAGCTCGCCGCGGGCT